TGGGATAGATTTGTTTTTGTCTAAGGACGAACCCGAAGCGAAGCGAGGGTGGGTCGCTAGTTCTAATATAAATAAATGTTAGTATCATAACCAACTCTTCAAAACATTTTTAATCACTTGCAATTATATATGCGTCTACAATTTTATTTATTTAATCACTAAATAATCACTGAATACAAATGAAATTCCTTTTGCTTATATACTTGAAGAGACAACTAGAACTGTGAATTTGAGAAAATAAAACTTGTTACTCTTTTTTTAACGAGTAACTGGATATTAAATAACTTTTTACAACAGTTGAAGTTTTATATTTCCCCTGAACTACTATATAAAATAAAGTGTATTCATTTCGTCTACAAATTCTACAACAACCCTTCTTCATAAACCTGTGGCAGTAAAACGAAGGAAAAGGGGAAGCAATTTAAACACCGGGTCTCGCATACCTCAGATTTTTCAATCTCATTCTCAACATTCTTGCTAATATAGTGGAGTAAAACATTGTTAGAAAACCTGCATCTCTGAGAGAACTTAACTAGATTTTGAACATATAATTGAAATCCGCCAACCCCGCATTTAGCTAGTGTGGTGCACCGTTTCTGGGGGTCCAGAAATTGTTCATTCACCACGTATTAAGAGAAGGCCCCAGCTCAGCAATGGAACGACTAAAAACCTGACTTCTTTTATGCAGTGTAAAGCAGATTAATAATGTCCAAATATTTTCGATTGTAGTTTAAATAAACAGCCAAACAAATATTGTAAAACATATATATATATATATATATATATATATATATATATATATAAATTTGTATATAATTTTATACAACATGTCAAATTTATATACAACATATATCTATAGCTATAATATTTATGTATATTTTAATTACTGTCTCGTTGAGTCACATGACTTATAATTTGATCAATCTTCATTATGTTTTTCATTTTGTCGAAATATACTTGATATAATTAAATTCTTCTTCCACTCAATTTAAACCATATTAGTTAGAAAGACATTAATATTATGTAACATTTCATAATGACAATAAATAGATACATGAAGTAGGCAATATATGTAGCCCTTTTTTTATTTACGTTGTGGTAGTGTGGGGCTCACTGGAAAAGCCAGTACTACCCACTAAAACCCAACGAAACCTCCCCAGAGAAGTATCAGAAACCCGCATGCACACCCCGATCTTATGCTCCTGTTATGAGGTTCTATGCTAGCATACCGGGCGGGTCTTTGACGACACGTTTGGCTCAGTTTGTAGTGACCCTACTTGCTGTGCCGTCTGTTGCGGGTTCGAGTCCCGCTGGCATTCATTTGAGTGATGAGCACGAATGTGTGTACTCTAGTCGTGGGTGTTTTTATATTTATAATATGTATATATTTAAAGTTATATATGTGTAATGTATTAACTATCTGGTATACATAACACAAGCCTCATAACTTACCATGGAACTAGATGGTGCTGTGTTTTAATGTACCAATATAAATATTTATAAAAAAAAATTTTAGTTATTGGAATTTTCTGCCAAAAAATACAAAACCCAGGGTTAATAATTTGGCAGAGTTTCAGCATCTGATCTCTCTCCGGTCATGTTAAATCGTCATCCCATCGAAGTTCAGAGTGACAGGAATAAAGAGTGATCATACTTATAGACTTTAATATCTCCTGCGATTATGACTAGTCCCAGTGAGATTGGCCGCCGTGCCCTAAATCGGTCACGAACGTGCAAAATAAAAAACCATATATTTTTTTTTAGAAAAAAGTATTTCTTTTCTAAATAAAAATAAAATCTTAGTTGAAAAAAAATCATTAAATATTTTATTTCAATATGTTGTACATAGAGAAGATAAATTACTTTTATACCTCAACCTTGAAACTTATAGGAATTATTTTTTTGAGGCATACTGAGAAAATACTTATAAAATTTTTGCCCATAAAATTAATCATACGAAAAATCTATCATCTAAACAAAATGTCAAAGGTCGTAAACAAATATATCTTATATAGATGATACGTAAAAAATAAGGATAAAATATAAAATATCTGCACAGGCATTCTCCACTCTAAAATATGAAAATATATGAAGTTACGTATATATACATATTGTATATATAACACACTAGCGCGTTACGTTTTAACGTTTGTTATAGATTTCTCAGAGATGAGATTTTCCCCGCAATAAAAAGTATACTAAATGTTGACCCGAATAACCAGCTATCCTCATCAATCATCATACCAAATTTCATCAAAATCCGTCCACTGGTTTACTCGTGATGCATTCCTAGACAGACAGATAAACAAAAATTCCAAAAACTATATATAGAGTATGAGTATTACAGGAACAACATTGTACTTGTGTTTGCGAATATACGTGACATTATAATATGATCTCCTACTTAGTTGGATCTCAATGAAATCGTTCAGGAGGGCGACATGATCATCTTTACATATACTTTACAATTACAGGCTTCTCCTGGGCAAACTCGCTAGATCGTAGACCTTATCTGTGCCTTCGAACATAGATGAAGGTCAAGAGTGAGCCCATTTCTAATTAAAAAAAAATACCACAGTTCATATTATAATACTATACTATCGTTCGAATGTCTAACTGTCACAATCCATTTAAATATTATACTGCAAGCTTCTATCAACAATACTACTAGATCAACAAATATATAATATGCAAATTTAAATACCAACATGACCTCAATAATGTATGAAATATTTCCTATAAAATAAACTCAATTAAGTGGCGGCACGTTATATATAAAAATTTCATGAACATTTTTAAACAGATTTAAAAAGTAGATGCTACTATTTTTACACCCAATAAATATTATGATAAAATCTTGTTAAACGTTTATTTTACTTCAAAAATCGTAATTTGTTTACAGAACAATCATTCAATTCAATTCAATTTTTGTTTCGTGTTTTTTGGAGTGCCATTTGGGCACAATTTACTTCACCAATATCGCGTAGAATGGAGAATAAACGTTATAGAATAACCGGTAAAAAAGAACAAAAAAACAGTAGATCTGACAATATGTAGAACAGAGAGATTTTTTGTAAAATCAGGACCTAGAACAGCCAATACAATATATACAAAAACAATGAGATGAAATAAAAATTACAATTATTAGTACTAATTATACTACTAGAGCAGTATTATAGGCTACTTTGAAATCATAGATTTATCTTACTAGTTTATAAATGTGAAAATTTAGATGTTTGGATGATTGTTACTCTTTCACGCCAGAACGGCTGAACGGATCTGGATGAAATTTGGCACAAAGATAGATTATAATTTGGAATAGCAGATAGGCTACTTTTTATCTCGAAAAAATGTACGGTTCCCGTGGGATAGATTTGTATTTATTTTTCTAGAGGCGAACCTGAGCATAATATTTTATCTATAATTAGAGTTTATACCTAATCATATTTACCTATTAGATATTCATATCGTAAAATATTGTCCGCTGGCACCGACTACGAAAATATCTGATTAGGTATCTATTCTAAATGAAAACCTCCGTTTAGTATTTTTTTATATTTTAGTGCCTGGAAGTCGGTTTTTATTTATTTTTTACTTTATTCACTTGTTCATTGAAAAATCTCAACTTCTAATTTTATCTATATACATAATATCTACTATATATACATATGTATATATACTGCGAACGCTTTATTAGTAATTTTGCCTCATAGAAACATATAAAAATATGAAATTCCGAAATTCTATTGCTGAATAGAATAATCAATACTTGACCTTTTCAGATGTGAAGAAGTTTCTTGTGGAGCTCAGCACTCGCACCTATGAAGCGTAAACTATGTATGACGCCGACATTCACCTGTGACGACGACATGGAGGAACTCAATGTGGTAGGAAATTTTATATTACATTTTTACAAAAATCTACAATCTATACATATAATAAAATTGTAACTAAGCAGAATCTGTACATAAAATATTTTTTGGAAAATCTTATTGAGATAGACTTTATTATCGATACAGAGGCTGAAGCTATAGTTTTTAGAATTTTTGTCTGTCTGTCTGTCTATTACCGCATCACAGAAAAACCACTGGAGGGATCTTGATAAAATTTGGTATGGTGATAGTTGGTTATCCGGGTCAATATAAAGGATACTTTTTACTGCGGAAAAATATCTCATCTCTGAGAAATCGATACTAAATGTTAAAACGTAAATAGGGACGAACCCAAGCGAAGCGAGGTTGAGTCCCTAGTTTATAAATATGTATAGTGTTTTGTATATTCATGTACTTTATGTAATTCTTTATGTAGTAAATGGTTGAGTTGGAGTATATACAAGTATATGCTAATATTTACTGCGTAAAATTACCTCATTTCTTCGGTAAAATATTTTATACTAAAACTCATAAACAACTCATACTCATATAAACTTCAATTGATATGTCTGACTTTCTTTCTATATGTATGGAAATCATTTGTAATGCTTTTGTTTACAAACAATACACATATACTATAACAGTACAGTGTTTGTTGTTAAAAAAACAATATCTTTAAGCAACAACATACATTTTATCGATGTATCAGGCAAGTGGAGTCGCTTCTAAAATCTAGTTATAATAGTAAAAGGCATTTCGTATAACATTTTACATATAAAGTATCATTCTTTAGGGAATATATATAAGTGTAATAACTTTACGATATTTTATAGTCCCATACTTTATAAGTCAATTTGGATCCCGACAGTAAAATAATAAAATGTCAATATTTATCTTCATAAAGGATTACCCTACTTACTACTAAACTAAAAAAACCTACTACCTAAAAAATCGAAAGTCATGTTTCTTTACATCTTAAACTATTAATATTAATATATAATATAATAGAATAAATAAATTATATACTTTCAGGAAAAAAAAACATTTTTTTTTGTATAATCTGTATTTCAGTAAACATCATACAAATTCAAAGGAAGGAGTTACAAAGGAATAAACAAATGCAAACTATTCGCTTTGAGGTAAATCAGTATCTGACGCTTCCTCAATCTCACCCAAAGAGCCTTCGTGTAGTGATGTTTGTTGTTTTGGAATTTTACCTTCCCTATCCAATCTTGTTTTATGCATTTTGATAAATTCTTCATGAGCGTTTAATGCCTGCCTTCGATCTTTTCCCTCATACAACGTATTTTCCCAAGAGAAATCTATTTTGAAACTATGTTCCCGTACAGTTTTACTCGCGGTATTTTTCAACTCTTCATAACTTTCTAAGTAACGTTTCTTCAAACTACTCTTACCCTCAGTTAGATAACTTTTTTTAATCTTTTCTTCTTTTTTAATAGCTTCAGGGAATAGAATAGCAACGGTATCGTTAAAAATTGTATTTTGATTCTTCATTATATCTAACATTCGTCGCTCCTTCTCTAAACGCTGAGCTTCCAATTCACGTAGTGGTTTTTCATGTTCGATTAGTTCTGCTCTATTTATCCTCTTCTTGACAGCAATCGTTTTTTCTATGAGCTTTTTTATTATATTTTGCCATCTTTCTTCTGGCCCGATGACTTTCAATTTTTGCTGTCTCTTGGCTTCCGCTTCCTCTTCGTGTCTTCTTTCTTCTTCTTCTCTTAATTTACGTTTTTGTTCTTCTTTTAGAGCTAACAACTCTCCTTCTTTTCTTCTTATTTCTTGCAATATTTCAGGATTATTCTCCATCCATTCATTTTGCCATTCTATAAAAGTTTGTATGACCTTTAATTCTCTTATAATCATGCTTTCCATTCGGCCTATATATGCTGGATTATCAATCATAAAAATTGAAGGATATAAAAACATTCTAAAAGAGCCATTAATATCAGAAACTCCAATAATATTTTTCGCTAAGGGAAGTGTGTGTAAACTCACACTAGTCAGCATATTCCCGGATAAAGTTTGAACTGCTATTGGCTGATCGCTTCGTAGTAACAAATCCCAAGTTTCCAAATCTCCTTCAGATGTTGTTATGAATAATAAACTAGGCTTATATAACGACCAAGTACCATCAGTTAATCGACAGGGCCTTTTCTTCCATATTAAAGGCCTATTTTCTAATTTGTCAGACCATATAGCAAATATTTTTCCTCCTACTGTCAATGTTATATGACTTATAAAAGGATTTTTCTGTGTTCGTGTTATTGTACCATCATGAATGTAACAGTTAAATTTTATGTCGCTATATTCAGAGTTTACGACCTCACCCGTATTAAATTCATGCCCTTCCCATGTAATTCTCGCTAATTCACCATGTTGAGATCCACAATATAGAATAGTATTAATTTCACATTCACTTTGAGGGACTATTTCACAAGTAAAGTACTTTCTTCCTGTACCCGTATTTCTCGGCACATACGTATATTTTATAACCGGAGGATTCATTCCAAAACTTTGAAGTGGCAAAGTTTGCGGTTGACCCGCAACGCCTAATAAAATTTTATAACATGGTTGCAAATTACGGTCTAATACCTTTAAAGGTGAGAAATCTACTAACAAACCTGAAGGTCTTTTCAATACTCTTTTAGACTTTTTCACCTTCTTTCCTTCAAAAAGTGTCACATTTTCTACAGATAAACTCCAAATTAATATTAGACCATCTTCAGAGCCTGTAAAAAACAACATTGATTTTTTATTGTCTGTCATCATAAGCGATTTACCTGTCGAAGTAACATTGAAATTGGGTGAAAGCCAGTTAATTGAAGTAATAGGTCCATAATGGCTTGTCATTAAATTGCTTAAGGCCGTAGATTGAACAACAGCGTTATCCTGTACATTCTTCATCCACCCCATATGCGCATTCATCGCAATTTTATATTTTTCACGGGTTTCACTAAGTACTTCAATTTTTTCCACATTATCTAATTTATTTGTAATATCCCAAACGACAACTTGGCCATTGATACATCCTCCTATTAAAATATTCTCATCAAATGGACAAAACGATAGAACTTTCACTTCCCTTGGAGACTCTAAATAAAGTTTTGATATCAAACTGTCAATGTGGCTCCATATCAAAACTGGATTTAGACCGTATACAGCCCGTTGAATGGGATCATGACGAGTACTTAGTGTTTTCATCACAACAGGCGAACCATCAGAATAAGAAATAGCTACAATCCCAGACCACATTGGATGAAAAACGGCAGATGATATATATTTATTTTTAGCTCTTACATCCGTAAAACAAACATATTCTTCAAAAGTCATTGTATCATAAATATCTACAGTTTTTTCTGCTACTAGGTCAGGATAGTCGTTACAATAAATATCCATCACTGTATTAAGTTCAACAATAGAATCCATCTCAGTTTTCTTTTCATTCATGAAAGTATTGATTTTTTTTATATAAGAAGGTCTTCGCATACGTAATAATGCATTTTTATATGCTTGCAAGCCAACTTCATCTGGAGGTTCTGTGACCTCTTCTTCCTCTTCATCAGAGCTCTTCCGTTCTTTATTCTTATCTGGTTTTTGTTCTTGGCCAGTATCTCCACCAGCATCAACATTATCTACTTTTCCCAACGCATCAGCTATAGATTGCGTCCACATATTTTGAGGGTAGCGAAGTTCAGTTTGGGCATAATTCGGTATTGTAGGTGGAGCGGCTTGAACTGCACAGTCAACTCTACGTCGAAAAACATTATTAAATTTCTGTCTATATGGGGTCAACTCTATATAACCATCTCTAATAGAATTTGTATCTCTAACCTTAAATTTTTCAGGCTCATAATATTTTGGAAACTTAGCTTTTATTTCTATCTCCAACAAAGGTCTCATATTTATTGGTACCAATTCTTTTATCTCCACTTCACTGCCTAAACTTTTCCAAGGTCTAGGTTTCTTTTGTACAGCTTTTTCTAATTTCTTCTCTTGCCTTCTTATAAATCTATCGGATTGTTGTTTACAATGATCACGGGCTTCTGTTGTACAACATACATAAAATTCATCCACATCATTAGACTCATCGACTATATATCCTATTAATACTAATTCTTCAGTATACTTTTCTAAAGGTTCTTTTAAAGGGAAAAATTCAGATAACTCGCCACCTACTTCAATAGTTTCTATTATTTTCTCTTTGGTGACAGATTTCCACGGGTATTGGGCATTGACATGAGTACCGACAACCATTTCTATTTGTATTTGTGTTTCTTCTCCAAGTACCACTTTATAAACGCCATCAACATCATATTTTGGGATAAATCTTTTTCTACGAGGTAGTGGTTGTGCTGTTGTCATTTTTTCTTCCAAAAATTGATCTGCAAGTATTTATATTAACATTATTTACTTTACGTAAAAATATTTATTTATTTTAATAAACATTGACATATTCTGTCATTACAATTGTAGTGCCAAGTCTGACAAATAGCATAGTTTTAAAGTATATTAAAACCTATTTATTCATATCCACAGCATCATCTCAAACATTTTATCAGAATATATAAATGGACTATACTAACAACGTTTAAACTTTGTTATAAAGATTGTTACGAATGTTAACCTGTATTTGATTTGTTCATTTTGATTTTGACCTTCATTTTATTTCAGTAGATCACGTTACATGTGAGTTAAAATATTTTAATAAAAAAATATACATTTCCGAACGTTTAAATTAATGTATACAAATGTTATTTCATTGTTTTCATTCAATAAAGTAAACAACTTATTTATATATTTTTGAATAAAATAAGTGGTAGCCCAGTGGTAACGAACTCGCTTGGGAAACTGAGTGAAGCGGGTATATTTTCATGTGCGAATCGTTTCCAATGTCTAAGAGAGCCCAGCAAGTTATCGAAAAACATGTGAAGTCCGCCAACCCACACTTAACTAGCATGGTGGACTTGGTCTGATCTCCCTCGTATTGAAGTGAGGCCCACGCCCAGCAGTGGGACATTAAAAAAGGGCTGAACACTAACACAGATTAAAATATTTAATATATGTATAAATAATTTGTAACATGTGTTTTATTTAAATATTCTTATTTATACTCTCAACTCTGTCATCGTAGTTCATTTATATTATATTAGGTACTTTATAAATTATACTTTATAAAAAAACGTTAAAGTAATAACTGTAAAGTTTCATCAAAATACGTTCTGTAGTTTTTGTTTGAAAGAGTAACAAATATCCATAACAAACTTTCGCATTTATTAAATTAGTAGGATATACATCAGCCCCGTCTTTTCGCACTTTTCATTATGCTCATATAGGTATGAATACGAATCTATATTAGTATAAGTTACATTATTCTAATAAAATACTAGAATTTGAGGCCGAGCTTTGCTCAGCGTTTTTCGGGATCACATACATACATACATACATACATACTTTACATATATGTATATAGAACAGGAATTGTTAATTTAATATTATAAGAAGAAAAACTGTGTAATATTTTTCTGTCTACTATATTAAATAATTACATTTGGTTTTACATTTTGGTTTTACATTTGGTTTGGTTTGGTTTACATTCTATATTTGGTTGAAAATGAAAAGTCACAATAATAGGTTGATTTATCTTAATTTAAAATAGCGACTTACCCTCATTTCGCTTAGGTGGAAGGTACGCGTATTTTGTTCACAATTTTATGGGTATTAGTTTTTTGCGCGGAATCCTGATTCTTTTTCTTAAATAAAAGTAGCCTAATTTACTCCTTATAATACCAGCTATTTTCCAGTGAAAGTCCCGTTAAAATCGATCCAGCCGTTTTGAAGATTAGCCGGAACAAGCAAACAGATTCTTATTAGCACCATATATACTCATATGCATTTAGTACAAAACTGTCATTTTGACATAACAAACAGACACTTCAATTTTATTTATCTGTATAGATAAAGTTAAGCTAAACTTTCATATTTCAGCAGACAACCTCTGTAGGAGTTAAATTATAACCGAAACATATCTATTGTTAACATTTTACTGTGAAGATATTGTTTCATGTTTTGCTACTTATTTAAATTGAACGATTCTTTTCTTAGCTTATTACGAAATTGCAAAAGAAAATAAAGTTATTTATGTTCATGAAACTCTTAGTTATAGAATATTCTATGAAATTGGACATTCTTTATCTAGCACAATAGATTGTAAATATAATATGTGTTATTGTATATATTTCAAAAATAGCTCCGCGCACACCGACAGCCAAAAAGCGACATGATGAAGTTAGCTGCATTTCTTTTACAAACAGAGAGTTGTGACATACGGGATGAAATTTTTAGCTATTTTTTGTTTTCCATGGTATATTACTTTATGGCCCAAACCTAAGAAGTCTGGCAAAGGCTATCAATTACCGTAGTAGCTATACCTACTTGTCATAAATGTCCAACTTGTTTATTTATATGTTACATTTTAACATCAAAACTAATATACTATATATTCTATACATAAAATTAATTGTGTATAGAATTATTATATGTATATAATATTGAATATATAAAATTGAATTGTCTGTCTGTGATTTTAAAATAACTATGTTTTCTTAAGTACAAAGACTTATATGATACCAGTACCAAAACAATGCTTTATAATTTTTTTGTATGTCTGTCTTTGTGTTTGGAATAGCTTAACCGATTGTTATATTACTTTCATTAAAAGATAAAGGAGTTTGTAGGGTTACATATAGGGTATGTTTTACTCCAGAAATATTTAAGGATCCAGTTATTCAAAATTTCGCAAAATTCGAATTTACGTTTCAAAACTGCTAGGGACGCACCGGAGCGACGCGACGCGAGGGTAAATCGGGGTAGGGTGAGGGTAAGTTTATTATGAAATATTCTTAAAGTAACAGGTATTTTATTTAAATAACAACAAGTAATACTATGTGCATGTAGATTTGGCTAAATTCCATAGATATGTTCTTGTTCCGCCTCTGCCTCTTATTTGCATTTGAAAATTGTCTGAATAAAACCCGAAATAATGTTTTTAAAATAGCAATTACATAATTCGTTGGCTCACTATTACAAGGTTCTATGTTACAATTTTAGTACTTATTTAGTTATGAATGCTACAAGGTTCTATGTGTCATTAGCTACAGTTTTGCAAAAACAAACCACTAGATAGCGGCACTTTAACTACAAAATATTCAATTTTACATAGTTCTATGTTATTTTATTACGATAACAAAATAACGAAGTTCTATGTAAAAATTACTAAACTTCATTAAAATTAACATAGAACCTTGTAATGGTAAGCCAACGAATTATGCCAAAAGATTTTTATTTTATACCTATGTATACTGTTTGTGTGTATGCTCGTTACTCCATCACTCGGAAACGGCTCGACAGATTTGGATAAAATTTAGCACTTAGACAGACTTTTGCCTTTAGTATAGATTTCTCAGACCGCGGCGAGTGTAGGTACCTACTTGTACATTTGGCTTGGCACTGACTTCAAACCTATCCATAGGTAGCACATAAAAATAATAGAATTTTCATAATATTAAAGGTAGTAAATTAAATCTTTACTTTTTCTATACTTTTTAGTTTTTGAAGTCGGTTTTTTTAAACATAGTTTTTTTTAATGAATTGTATGAAAATATTGTAAATGAGGTAAAATATTATAAAAATATCTAAAGGTAGGAAAAATATAATCTAGAACAAGTCATACAACAATTTATTCTCTCCGCTTATAACCTTTTAATATCATCTTATATTTTTTACTGTTGTTTTTTGAAAATCCAAATAAAAGATAAGACTCAAAAAATATTATAACTGGAAATGTTACACATATTATGGGCTTAACCTTAAGGTGACTTCAGATGGTGTATATTATATTAGAAATGAGAACTTTCTTTTTTAAAGTCGGTTAAATATAGTATATGTAGTAATATCCTTACCTCTTTCATGTACCTTTTCCTTTTCGTCTTCATAACTGGAATCTGAAGACTCATTTCTAACGATCTTGACCTCATTCTCCTCTTTTTCACTATCTGTATCACTCATGTTGAAATCAAATCAAAATGTGTTTAGCTATTACTCAATAACTATAAAGTTACTAATTGCGGGCTTAAATATTTATAACTAAGTAATATTTATAATGATAAATAACACTATATGTTCAAAACTATAATTTACTGGCAACTTCCACCGCTTATGACCTAACAAACTATCTTCATAAAACTTAACAAAGTGTTCATCTAAGTACCGTATTCTCAAAATTTTCTTTAATTAAGATTACTAGATCACTCGTTATTGAATTCAACATGTATTGTATTATCGAACCACAATTTGTTAGTAAACAAGTAATAAGAGTGACGCATGCGCTGTCTTTACTAGTTCCTGTGCTTGGTACGAAATGTTACTGAATAGATCCCCTATATATGAATGTAGTTATACATGCATTAACGCGTACTTGAAATATAGTTGAAGTATCCATTTCTGATTCAAAATTTAAATAACTATCTTTTATTGATTTCAAAATCATACAAATATTTAATTAATATTACCATTAGTAGTTAGAATTTTAATCTACATCATCTTTCGATATTAATTATCTATACTAATATTATAAAGAGGCATAGTTTGATATTTGAACGTGCTAATCTCAGGAACTAATAATCTGATTTGAAAAATTCTTTTTGCATTAGGTAACTTGTTTATTGAGGAAGGCGCTATATATCATAACGTTTAGTATAGATTTCTCAAATATGAGATATTTTCCCGCAGTAAAAATTATCCCATATGATGACCCGAATAACCAGCTGTCATCATACCAATCATAATCTGTCCAGAAGTTTTCTCGTGATGCCTTCCCAGACAGACAGACAGACAGACAGAGAGACAAAAATTCTAAAAACTATAGATTTGACCTTTGTATCAATAATGATAACTATTTCAATAAGATTTTCTAATATATATTTAATGTACAGATTCGACTCAGTTGAAATTCTATTATATGTATAGATATATTTCATACTAATCGTTAAAATGTATGTTTTTTTTGTATAGATACTATGTTACGGGATATAAAAAATCTATTTTCATTATTCGTATTATTTTTTCATTTTTGTATGGGACTACACTTAAGGCTACCCTTAAGATATTATAACCTTTAACTTTTACTTTTAACCTTTTCATATAAATATAAATGAGTTGAAATCGATATCTTATATATGTAATCTCATAATGTATTAAATGATCAATTCTTGTATATATGTACATAAAATTTCGTATATCTCGGTAACGGCTCTAACGAATTGGATCAAATTTTGTATTTAGTGAAGAGTTTGCTTTTTAAGTTTTTCTATATAGGTGCCTTTTCCGAAAAAACGCAATTATTATATCTTTTCCGATACTTTTAAATTTAAGGGAAAAAAAGCTTTTAGAGTGACAAAGTGAGCATATTTTGGCACCTCACTTCCGCCTGTTATTTATATTTTACAATAAAAATTACAGTATAATTTATATCCAAGAACAAGACCCTTAAATATTTTTTTTGTTACAGGCAGCCCTGTCTCGTCGCAAAGAATCGGCGGCACCGCTAACTGCAGATAAAGATGGCGCTATCTTTCGTAACGCGCTATCTTATCCACTAGCTTTAATCCTTCGACTTCGTGTATTACAGGTAATTAATATTAATTAATACCTACTAAAATTTGGCTGCCTCATTATTTTAGTGGCTAGCATGTACGGCTGCAATCATAAAGTCCTGGGTTCGAGTCCTGGATCGTGTATCGTGCTTATTTGTTCAAACGACCAATCTTGTTGCTGTTTACAGTGGAGAATTTTTTTCCTATTTTAAATACAAAGCTTCATTTCTAAAATTTATATAAAAATTAAATTAAAATGTGTCATTTACACCAATTGAATTAAAATTTAATAGTCAATAATTCTGTTAAAAAATCTTTCGATAAATTGGTCATTTCGACAACTAAGTACTGAGACGACGGTATGTAAATTTGTTTTATTTATCTGTCATTTTTTTTTAATAGAAACACGAAATTGGGAAATTTTAGGAAGAGTTTTGCTCACCCCTGCCTTGGAAAATACGTACATATGTATGTATCTTTCTTGGCCGATTTTGACCACAGCGACTGTTAAGACTGTATAGGTTTTGCTCTAATATTGTGAGTTGGTTTCGTTGCACTTTAATACACAATTTTAGTACATATATAAAACTGTTAGTTCTACGCCTGATCACTGTATTCAATATGTGAATCACAGCTTGTGAAACCAAAACCTGTAGGAAAAATATGTATGTATGACAAAAATCATAAAAACTGCTACTTTAGCTTGAAGCTTTATCAAACACCATCAACGCACCCTCGCTCCGCTCGGGTTCATCCCTAGTTAGGTTTAAACTTTTAGTATAGATTTCTCAGCGATGAAACATTTTCTCGCAGTAAAAAGTACCTATCCTTTATGTTGGCCCGGATCCCAAATTTCATCAAACTCCCTCCTGTGGTTTTCCGTAATGCGGCCACAGACAGACAAACAGACAGACAGACAGATAAAAATTCTAAACACTATAGATTCGGTCTCAGTATCAATAATAATGACTATTTCAACAAGATTTTCCAAAAAATATTTATACAAAAAATATTGTACAGATTCGACTTAGCATTTTATAGTATAGTATAGATTTCATATTTAAAAATATTCAAAACTTTGACCCAACCAACACACTTTATTTCATGTAAATTGATAAAAATATTTAACACTAACGGAAATCAAACCTTCATCACATTAAGAAGCTACAGACTTATTTACTAATTAATAATTATACTAAATTATCTACTCAATTATGTAATATCAGCGATTATCTAAAGCCAAATTCAATTAGCATGAGAATTTACTATTGAATTATTCCGTGATAACAGAAGCTCCATTTCATGGAACACGCTTAATACCGTTTGAAATACATTCCTGTCATCAAATCAATATCTATTTCCAAATATCTATACTAAGTTATAAAGTGGAATAGACATGTTTGATTGTTTGTCGCTCTTTATAGCTTATATATAATACTAGCAGAACCCGCGGCGTCGCTCGCGTTAAACTACGAAAAATCTGTAAAAACGTAGTTTCATATAAACTTTCATCCCCTATTTCACCCTCTTATAGGATGAATTTCAAAAAATGCTAAAACAGGTCCTCTTTAATTTTATCGAAGATTATTAATACCAAGTTTCAAGTAATTCTGATCATAAATATTTTGTTGGATTGTATTATAACGTGTTTTCCCGTGGGAATTAAATGACCTCCCGCTGTAAAAAGTAGCCTATGTCACTCTCCAGCCCTCCAAGTATCTCCACACAGAAAATCACGCCAACCCGTCACTCCGTTTCGACGTGAAAGAAAGACAAACAAACAAATACACTTTCACATGAATTATAATATTAGTATAGATTGTAATTTGGATTTTACTCATAGTATACGAAACTAATAACTTTTTAATTATATGTGGTTACGAGTGGACCACAGCTGGAAAATTATAAAAGATGGCAAAAAAGCTTCGAAAGCTTTTGCTATTGTATTAAAAGTTTGTGGCATAAGAAATAGACAAAACAATTTTGGAAAAACTTTTCCCTCTTAGCCGCAAGAAACCTCTGCTCTAAATTAAGCTACATTTTGATGTTCATTATTATACAAGGAAATCCGTGTAATTGTTTCGTCAAAATAACTTTTCTATTTTCGTATTTATTTATATATGAATTCCAATTCGGCAATAATGTTTCTTTTTTGTTTTGAGATTGAGTCTTACAAACATACAAACAAACAAACATTCAAACAATTTTGCTCTTTATAATATTAACAGTCAAGATGATATACAGAACCCATATGGTTCAAAAACAAATTCGATTCGATAGTTACTAACTACGAGTAGGTATATACTATTATATTTTTAGCTTCGTAATATCTTGCCTTGTATACTTGGAATACTTTAGTCATTAAGACTCTAATGGTTTTTCCAAGTTTGGATCGCAAAATCATTTTTCATCAGAGGGTTTCTATTAAGAAAAGAATTTTGCTATCTATATATTTTTGACGACACGTTTGGCTCAGTTCGTAGTGTACTTGCTGTACCAGCTGTACCAGCGGTCGTGGTTTCGAGTCCAGCTGGGGCATTCATTTGTGTGATGAGAACGAATGTTTGTACTCCAGTCATGGGTGTTTATATTTATAATATTATTTATGGTATGTATTTAAAGTTATATATGTGTAGTGTATCAACTATCTGGTATCCATAACACAAGTACAATCGTATATACAATCGTAGCTTACCATGGAACTAGACGGTGTTGTGTGTTAATATCCCAACATACTTATTTATTAATTGTATAGACTTCATTAAATTACAATAAAAATAACTTAAGCTCCAGTTTCTACTTATAGTAAATCTTGAACTAAATTTCAAATTAAGCACAGAAAATCAGCAAATAGAAGCTAAGATGTCTTTATAATAAACCTAATTTGTCCCAAATGAACCAGAAATGCCCAAAAAAAGGCATATGAGGTGAAAAAACGGAGGATCCTTAAACCATTTCGGTAGAACACTCAAAGCAAAATATAAAGTCGCTACATCAATCCCATTACACGTAACCCTACGACTTCGTAACAGAATAAGGAAATATATGAACATTCATTTGTTGAATGTATATTTATTATGAGAATTATTAACCCTTCTAGTGAATCCATATTTCATGAGTATAATAAAATTCGATATTTGTGACCCAGAAAATATTACCGTTGCTTCAAACAACACATAATTTTATATTTTAATCCATGAGTAAACTCTACGTATATTTATAGACTAGCGACTCACCCACGCTTCGCTCGGGTTCGTCCCTAGCTTGCTCTCCAATACAAACTTTCATCCCCATTTTCATCCCTTTAAGGGGTGATTTCCGGGATAATAAATATTCTATGTCCTTTCCAGGGTTTCAAACTATCTTCTTACCAAATTTCAGCTAAATTGGTTCAGTAGATCCAGAGATTACCCCCCTACAACGCCACAAACTCACAAACTTTACCTCTTTATGATATTAGTATAGATAAATTTAAGCTATCGAATTCATGAACACACAGTGTTTCGGCTTAACTCAGTCTCTGAACACCTTTTTCATCCTCAAGTTATTCTTGCACTACGACTTTACTTCACTTTTCTTCACTTTTTCACTCTTGTATATTTCTTTATTAATCATCTCTTAGTTCGGAAATTCTACTGAACTCTGGACAAAGTCTATATGAGTCAAGATAAAGACTATATTGATTTGATAAAATGGTTACAAAGTTAATATACCATTTAAAATTATCTGTATGTCTGTCTGTTTGTACAATAGATTATCAATAGATCTGAAGTAAATACACAGATAAATAAATGCATAAACCTCTCACAGGTAAAAAGAAATTTTGAGCATCATTACATAGGTTACTTCTCCTGCATCCCGCGGGAAAATGCATAGAAGAAGATTGACTTAATTATTGTAACGTAACTTTTACAAGTGAAGAAAGGATTTTAATGATTTTTTAACATAGTGTATTCAGCCCTTTTAAAAGTTCCACAGCTGCGCTCGGGCCTCCCCTCAACCAACGAGGTCAGGTCATAGTCTATCAAACTGTCAGTGCCTTCGAAAGCTTTCAAACCGACAAAAATTCTAAAAACTCTAGATTCGGCCTCTGTATCGATAATAATGACTATTTCAATAAGATTCTCCAAAAAATATTTAATGTCCAGATTCGACTTAGAATTTTATTATATGTATAGATAGATGTATGTGTAATGTAACACAAAAACTTTACTCCAAAGCTCGTTTTGTGCCTTCTGACTAACACCATGGTAATATTACATAAGTATTACTGTGCTAACACTTAGTCAATTTATTCTGTTTTAACAATCATTCAAAGAACTTTAAAATAAAACAAAAAGGCAATGTAATGTGGTAAAACAAATGTAAATTGAATTATTTATTTCATTGCATCGAAATTGAACTGTCGATTGCAATAACAAGCTCTAAAGCTTTAAATCGCATTGTCATTAAAATAGATCGAAGTGGATTTTCAAATAGCCTTTTTCATTATCTGGTTTTGAATTTGCTGCAGATTCTAATTGGATGGCGGTTCCATCGTCGTGGTTTGCCTCAACCAAGCCAAAATAGACGTACAATATATATGTATATATAGTCAGTACATATATTCATTATGTAGACAAAAGCAACATTCGTTGTGTTATATTATGTAGTATATGTACTAGCGAGCTACCCTGGCTTCGTTTGGAGGTGTCTCTAAGACAGCGCTACCTTTAGGCGATTTTTACTACTAAGTAGTAGCCTATATGTTCCTGTAGGTCATAGTTTATTTGTGTACTCCAGTCTCCAAATATGTCCAACCGTCTCAGCGTGAGGTAACAAACACACATAAATACTTTCATATTTATAATAATAGGAGTGGAATAATATAACCCCATCCCATTATATGTAGAGATATATATGTAATATGTATGTATGTAATATGTATGTATATGTATATATGTATGTATGTAAGTATCTATGTAAATATGTATGTTTGTATATATGTATATTTATATTATAATTGATGTTTGTAGTTTGTACCTACACCGCACCG